GCTTTTCATCTTTTTCGCTTTTCTTATCAGTGTTCCTTGATATAGATAAAAGGGAACTACTTTTCCGTTTTTTGGTATTCGTTTTTTTTTTTCTGCCATGGGAGTCAGCGCTTTTTTGTTGTGAGCGAGATTCAAATTAAACGTTGAACATAACATTGCTTTATTTATGAGGGAAATTTCCTTTTTTGGAAATTTGAACACTGCTGATTTCTCATATAGTAGTTACTGAGCGATATTTGTTAATGAAAAAATTAAGAACACATTTAGCTAAATTTAATATATTAAAATCTATACCACTTTAAATCGTAGCATAGGATGAATGCTGAATCAGGCAACGAAAATCGTACAGAAAGATTGCGTTTCTTATCAAAAGAACAAATGTAAATGTGGTCAAGACAGTGTATACGGTGTACCCGTACTTTTTCCCGATAGTAGACTAGTCGTTAATTCTGTACAAACTACAAGTAGCACTACCACTAGTCAGAACACAACGTATAGAGATAAAAATACGAGAAATAGTTGACGCAAACAAAAGAGGAAAAATTATAAGGAATGGCTAAACAATTAAAGGACTACTTCGCTATTTTGAACAAACGGCAATTTACATTTCGAGGTTTCTTGGCGTTTCTGATGCCAAAAGCTAGCATTTTATCCCGATCTGGTCCTCACCGCACATATCCCATGTTAGCCTTTGTGTTTAAGATCACTAAAAAGAGCAAGGTTTATTTCGCGCAGCGAAAGTATGTTTGGTCTTTTCTTCAAACAAATAAGGTCTTTCTGCCAATGTAGCCAAGTTTTATCTAAATCACATAGTGCTAAATTCAAAATTCTACATCAAAATGGAGTAAGGTTCAGCCTAACAGAGCCAAATCCGGATAAAGCTTAAGCCTTACCCAGCTTAATGGTAAGGCTTACCCGGAAAAATGGCTGACAGATATTCCATGGGTAAGCCAATCACAACCACAAGAGAGAAAAACAGAAATTCTGTTTTTACAGGAGAGAAAATATTCAACAAGATGAGTGAAATAATATTTACTGATGCAGAGAGATAAAAAGCTAACCAGTCTAGGATCTTACAGAATAGTTGTCTGTCTGTGTGTGTGTGTGTGTGTGTGTCCAGAAAACGTTTTAGGTTTATATTACATTATGCACTTTTTTCGTGGAGTCAGAGTAGTTCGCAATATTTCTCACCTTTCATAGGTGCGCAGTGTTTTTAATAGGAGTTTTTTTCAGGGTGGAACTTTCCACTGTACTGTTAGAGTCAAAGTGGGATTTTTCACTTTGATATGAAATGTAAAGTGGACACAATGGGACAAAATGGGAACAGTTGAGATTTTTTGGCCTAACACCGGCTAAAAGAGATTTTTTTTATCGTCACAGGGGTTTCGTTTTATCACTTTCAGTTAAATGGACCAAAATTAACTTCGGTACCCTGGTCAGTTATAAATTTAACAACAAACACCTTAGATAACTCATCTAAAACAAAATGTAACTAAAACAATAGCTGAAAGGTGAACACTTCTGAAGAAAAAGAAACACTGCAAAACTTTTATACGTTTAGATAGAAGTCACAAATCCTTTTTGAATAATATCATGTTGATGTTAGTGTTCAGACACTAGCACCGAAGGGAGGTGTGAGCATTCACTTCAGTTCAGAAGTACTTTTAGACCTCTGCGGATCTTTCTAGGGTAGCGAACAGCGTTACCTTGTTTTCAAGTAAGCAAAAAACAGAGAATACATTTAAGATTAAAATATACAATTTTCTTCACTCTCTACGATGTTCGTGCAATTTCAGCGTATGCATCAATCAATCGACTTGACTCTTCGATGTCAAAATATGTTCCATTCATCTTCTCATTTATTCTATTCAGTACATTCATCTTTGCATGTCCAAGTGCTAATGTCCAAAACTGTTTGATAACTACACCGTGTGCTGCACTTAATAAATTAAGTTCCTGTTCCGGATAGATTGCGTCTCCATCGGTCATAAAAATAATTGCATACTTTAAATCCAAGTCTACTCTTCTAGAATTTTGAATACACTGATATACTTGTGTAAAAGCAGCACAAAAATCCGTTGTATTACCGCCAAACTGCACAGTGTCTACATTAACATCTTTAATTTCCTTGTCAAAATACGCCAGATGTGCTTTATCTGAGAATGTAATAATCGTTATGTGATCCTGCACACCGACCAAGTCTTGACGACGTCTTAAAAATTCTTTAACAGCAGCTAGTAGATCCTGCCATGGTTTGCCATACATTGATCCAGATGCATCAAGGAGGAGAACGTAGTGAAGAGACTGTGGACGTTGTCTCTGACGATAGGTATTAAATGTAACGAATTTCATATCATATTTACGACAGAGATCTTCGCCGATTTTTGCCCATACAGTTAAAAATTTTTCGTGTAAACGTGACAGTTCATCATTATTTAACAAAGATTCAAATATCCAATCTGGATGATCTAATTTAAATTGGGACCATTTCTTACGTAAAGAACCAACAATAATGTATTGATCATCTGTTATCTGTTCACACATAAATAATGAAGCTTCTTCAGTTTCTTCAAATTTATAACCATTCATTGCACGTAGAGCATGCCCTGTTGCACAACGATGCTTGTTCTCTTCTGATCCTGGATTTGATTTGATCTTTGCATGATCATGATCACACGGACGTCCACAACAGGGACAACAATTTGGACAGCCACGAATTTTATCTAGTAGTCGCGCATACGTCTCTTCAGTGTCAATTGTAGTAAAATCACAATTCTGTACCTGAAATTGCTTCAAAATCTTTGAACTTTCTTGTGTAATACGTTCTAAGAATGCAGATAGTGTGGCAATTGAACATGTATCGTAGATTGTTGCCATTGCTTTTGTAACTGCTTGTAATTTTTCACTTGGCTTGTACTGTTGTGCTAGCAGATTAAATGTCTGTTGAGCATCACTTGTAAGACGATAGCTGTTATTTTTTTGTAATGCAATAGGATACGGTGTGTAGAGGGAAGGGATAGGTTGGCCAGAAAGAAAATATCCATAAAGGAAGTCCAGCCAGCAAAATCGTCATTTCGGTTAACATTTGACTAAACATCCTTTCTGATCTCACTTGAAGATAGTAATATAACAGAATAGCCATGCACCGTCGTTTATTATTAAAGTTTTGTTGTACATACAATGAGTTACGTTCAGCCGGTTGAAAAATATCATCAACAAATTTTGCTGTACGACCGCCTTTGGCTTTTATTGTATCATGAAGACCTACGTGTTGGAAGAAAAAAACGAAAACTGGTGAGAAAACGTGTCTTGTACATAGAGGTGTTAGCCGATCAATTTTACGGCGGCGGCGGCGATGGAAAATGTTTTGGATTACATGGGCCAGCCTTCGAATATTGTACTGTGAAGCAAAATAGCAAAAAAATATCTAGATATGGTCGGCGGCGGCGGATAAGTTTCCGCCGACGTTTTATTTTCAGCGGCGGTGAATCAAAATTTTCTCGGCGGCGGCGAAAAAGCCAACACCTCTACTTGTACATACAGCATCAGACGAAATCTTTTTCCAACGCTTCAAATGATTAGTAAATTAATAATCGCCTCTCAGATCATCAAATTCAAGTGCGAAAATAACCCAGTAAACTGACAGCCTCAGCGCGTTAATGGCTTTTAAAAGAAACGATGCAGTTTCGACTTTCTGGAGAAGAAATCCGGATCGCATCTCGATTCCAAAAACGAGACAGATGACTAACTTACCTTGCATACAATGAAAAAAATTTGCCAACGTCTCAGTGTGCTGTGCTTTCAAATGCATTAGATTCTGATTTATCGAGTGTTCAATTTCAACCCACATATTATTAAAATATTCTACAATAATCTTTGTTGGATTTTCTATGTATTCTAGACACCACTGTTTTTCAGCTGTAATTATTCGTCCATCACATTTATCCTGTATCGCTTTACGATTCAGATCATCATACTGTTGTAAATCAAATTTAATACGTTTTCGACCATCTTCAAGCAGAGCTTTTAAAATATATTCTTTAACTTGCTTACACAGACTAATTGCACAGCCATCATCATTCGATGTATTAGGAACAACCATTGAAATAAAATGTGATCTTAGTTCTTGTTTACGATCATCCAGCGTCGACAGGGTCTGTAGGAAATGTCGTTGCTGCTCGTTAAAGTAGTATTTTGTTAACAGAATAATAGCACATGTATGAAATGTTGATTTCAGTTGCTTGTTAAGTGTTAAGCAAAATGGACTCAGTTCTAGATTAATATCTTTAATTAACGTGTTGATAGCACCAACGATCTTTTGTATAAGGTCAGTGTGAATTTGGCGTGGTTCATTTAGACTACTTGTATTACCATTTCCATTGGTATGTGTGGCATCAACCACGAGCCGAATAACACTTCCAATCAGCTTCGAAGCTTGTACATGGAGATGCTCTTCTTCACGTATCTTACTACGATCTCTAGGTTTTTTCCATTCACTATCAATTTCCTGCCGTGTCAACAACAGAAAACATTCACTCGCCTGTATATATCTACTTTCTGTATTCTGTTCATTTGTCGTCGCTTCTGCACTAGTACTATTCCATTTCATTATGGCGTTCCACACTCGTCTAGGAGTACTCTTGTTCTTAGCTTGTTTTGGTTCTGATTCGGTTACTGAATTAACATGTAAGAATTCAGTAAAACGTTGTTTTAATAGTTGTTTATTCAGATGAACTAGACTGTCAACTGTATCTGTTGAATAGGGATTCATTGAATCGGGAATGAACGTATGTTCGTGTATCACAGGATACTTGTAAGCTAATGCCGTGAAACGTGAGTGCAGATCTTCTAGGATATGTTTCTCGTCGTGCTTACTGTTACGTACAGTTTGTAACCACGCTAGATGATCCAAAATATAATTTTGATAATCCGGCAAACAGTCTTTTTCAAAGATATTGTAGTTAGTAAAGATATGTTTTAGAGCTAACTGAACACGTTCATTTGGATCAAAATTCTGATTAATGTTATCGATGATTGTATTGAACATTTTANCCGTGAAACGTGAGTGCAGATCTTCTAGGATATGTTTCTCGTCGTGCTTACTGTTACGTACAGTTTGTAACCACGCTAGATGATCCAAAATATAATTTTGATAATCCGGCAAACAGTCTTTTTCAAAGATATTGTAGTTAGTAAAGATATGTTTTAGAGCTAACTGAACACGTTCATTTGGATCAAAATTCTGATTAATGTTATCGATGATTGTATTGAACATTTTATCAAACTCACTGGATGCTGATTGTTCAGACATAAATGTACCTCTGGCTGTAATCTCATTAATCAACTTGTTTAATTCACCTTCACCATTTTGCACCAGCAGTTGAATTTGTGCTCTTTCACTCACTATTTTACATTGTGTTCTTAGTGCATTAAACATTTCAATAATTTGTACTTTTAAGAACTGTCTACTCCTCGTACGTATTGTATCAGATGTTTTTAACAGTTTTAAACGATTTTCAAGTTCATCATTCAATTCATCCTGTTTCTTCTGTATTTCGGGCAGAAGAAGATCTTCAATTTCACGTTCTTTCTTACTTGCAGATTGGCTGGTAAGTTGATCACAATATTTGGAAGAGAATTCCTGATGAAGTTTCGTGCTTATATACTCACGTACTTCATTGTCCTGACGACGTTCATTTATATCACGGTAATAGGTTAGATCAGCAAATTTTTGTAAAGTATTAAATATTGTAATTGAAGATTCAAGCCAATGTATAGGGTCAGTAAACTGGTCAGAAGAACGCGAAAGACATTCCGTTGCTGAGTCAATAATTTTACCTGTCAGCAATTGTACTAGTTCAACAAAGTCCGGCTCAGTTTTTATTAAATACGGTAAACTGATATCGTTCAGTGAGCCACGTTCTTTCTTGAATGCATTCGGTAAAGTATGAAATGTTTCCGGTTTAATATCGATCATTCCACTCAGATCAAAAGCTTTCAGATCCGTTATGATCTTATCAATCGCTGCTTTATGATTTTGGATGTTTAAATCAGCTTTCTGATTCAATACAAAGTGGACAATTGGCTGTGGAACACGGTTAACACCCATTTCTTTCAGGGAATCAGCACACAATGTTAACATTGTCTTCAGCGATTCATTTACTTCGCCGATCATGTTAACAATAACTAAATGTGACACAGCTAAACAGAATAATACTAATCGTCGATCGAATTCTTTATCTTCACGTTCTACACCGAACAAGCCCTCAGTATCAATTAGCAGAATATAATCAAATTCACGTCTGTTTGATTTCATAAATGAACCATAGATACCACGTGTACAACGGCCATCACGAACATCAAAGAACGTACCAAACATGTAGTTTAACAACGTACTTTTTCCCGAATTTTGTGGTCCAAGAACACTGATTATCAAAACTGTTTTATTCGCGAAGTACGATGCCATTTCTGACGATAATACTTTTGTTAGAAACACATATGGGAAATGATAGTTATCACCATCAATTATTTCAAACGGAAGACCGGCTTCAACCGACTGAAGATAACGTTGTATAATTATTTCTTCGACATCCGACGGCTGGTAACGACTACACACGATTGCATTACGCCAAAGGACTTCCAGAGATAAATTTCGTTCAATCGGCAACTGTTTTGCCATCTCACCGGTTGAAATGAAACGATCACGCTCTTCTTTCAGTTGTGCTGCTAAGAGATTTAGGCACATTAGAGCGTTGGGTGCTTTTAATATTTTTACAAACAAATCAAAAATAATACCACCATCTTTGACTGAATTCTGCCTTGCTTTTAGTTTAATGATACCTTGACGAACTTGGTATATAACAGCATCATCTTCTCCGTAGAAATTAAGTTTTACTAATTTTTGTTGTAATTTACATAGTTCAACAAAATTAGAATATTCTGGATAGTATTCCGTTACATAATTCTCATTTCTGACCAAATGAAGTAATTTAAGTTTTAACGGTGTAATTGTCCTATCGATTTCAGTTAAATGCTCTTTATAATTATTGTCGTTTATCAGACGATTCAATTCACTTTTAATAAAATCTTTGTCACTCGTAGGAGATGGAAATGTCTGTTTCCCTAAGATAATTTCACTTAGTGTTCTAATCAACTGTTTACTCTGTTTATTTTGATTAGCAATAGATGGGAGCATAAATGTCTGAATACGGCTAGAGACACGTGTTAAAACTAACGAATCGTTTTGATTAAGTTGTGATGAAGGTGAATCACGAATAAGAAGTAGACGAAATTTTCTACTCGTTAATGTGTCACTGAAATCGAGAACAGTTTCAGTGTTCTTTAGAAGATACGAATAGTCAACGTGCAACAGAAAACCATCGAATAACTCGTGGATTTTACAGAGTAACTGTTTCGTCATTCTCCCATGTGTATCGGCAATGTTCAGATGTCGTGGCGATGTCCTTAAGAAACCGTAACCGAAATCAATGTCAATTGTCTGCTGAAAATAAATGGACGATGATGATTCTTCGAATGTTGACATGAACAGAGCGTTCAATAACGTTGATTTACCGGAACACTGACCAATGCCGAACGACAGAAGTGTCGGCATTTCATAGTTCCATACGTGAATAATTTCAGGTACGATAGAGTATTGTGATGTTGTTGAAGGATTAAGAAACGGAACGGGATTACGTTTAGACAACAAGGTCATAATCATTCGACTTAAGGATATATCACATTTCATTAGAAGAAAATGTATTAGCATTCGTAAACTAATTTTTGGTAATTCAGTTACAGATAAAAATACTCGTGAGAGTTTTGACGATAGAGCTTCTATAAAGTCATCTAAATTTTGATAGCGTTTAATTAAATACATGATTGGAATTAGACATTCATCGACGAACAAAGGAAAATTGTTAGTCTGACGAAAATGAGTGACGATGACTGATAGAATTTCATCACGTTTTTTACCAATGTACATTAGTTCACCCGCTTGAACTAACTGGGATAAATTTAGTTTTGCTGCATCGCTGTTCATGACACACGATAAAATCGAACGTCGTTCTTGATCGGCTGCAGCTGCAATCCGATTTTGTTCTCCAATTTCGCTAACTAAAACATAGAGAAGAAACTTAGATCTCACAAAGCATTTTTGCTCTTTAGAAAACTACATGTCATATTTATTTTTGCAGATGCAAAACTTTTTAGCACTCTGTCCGCTCCCCTTCCTCTAAGCAGTACACAAAAATCTACCTCTCTCTCTCTAAAAGAATTTTCGCCACGACAATCGTCGTTTTACCTGTTTCTTGTTGAGTGAAGAAATTAAATGTATTTGATGGAGGTGACGCTGGTGGTGATGAAAAATTTTCCGTAGTAATATTATTACTAATAGTAGTAGACAGTGATGAAGAAGGAAGAGCGATTCTGGCTATTAGAATGGTATTTGAATCTTGACTCGACAAAGTGCTGGGCATTGAGCAGACATCCGTGGTAGAACTGACTTGTGATAGACTAAGGTCGTCTGTTGTCTGTGATGACGGCGGTGTTAACATTTCTGCAGTTATGGTGGAAGAAACAGAAGAACTTCCGAAGGCAGCGGCGACTGTTGAAACTTCATCACCTGTTACTGGCACAGGTAAATTATTCTCATTCAAATACTGTTTCAGATGTGTAATCAGAAAATCAAATTTAACTTTCGCAATTAATCTGGTAAAATTTGAATTATGTAAACCCTGCCACCAGCCATTATTAACAACGCACTGAAGAGCAGTATCTACAGTATTGCGACGATCTGAAATTTTACTCTGTTTTAAGAGGTCTTTTAACGGCTGACGATAGTACTGCTGTAATGCTAAGTACAGTGGACTTGCATCTCTCAGTTGTTCTTCCACTGTAGCTGTTGACAACTGATCTTCATATTTCTTTAAATTCTGTCGACCAGATGTGGTCAATGTTCGCCAGATATCATCAAATTTCTCGTAGATCGTACCATCTTCATCATCAAATTCGAAAATGAACTGAATAACTAACGAAAGTATAGTGTTATCTTTCAAATAGGTGATACCGTATTCAGCTGTACGGGTTAGAATTTCATCGTACAAAGCGGTTGAATCGAGTTTCTGTTGTTTCAAGTATTCTTTAAACCACGTTTCATCGTCTGTAACTGACTGATACCACTCTTGTTCAAAATACTGTTTCAGTAGATTTAGTAAATCACTCTTCTCCATCATTTGTTCCAAGTAGACAACTTCTGCAATTCTACTTTTCTCATTTATTAGTGCTTGACGTCCTTTTATCTGTAGCTGTTTAACGATTATTTCCGAATCAGTTGAATCATCCAGTTCAAGAATTTCTGATATTTGGAAACTCAAATTCTCTTTAGATGGAAGAGTACTGATAGTAGTAGTAGTAGTAGGATTCACCAGGTCATAACCAAATGAAGAATTTGTTAAGGACAACGGAGACGATGATCTCAAATCGTTTGTGATCATTTTCTCAATATTCTCTCCTAAAGCAGAAAAAAACAAGATCACAGTATTCTTTAGCAAGGATGACAACAGTTCAGCACTTCAGCGTGCCACTTCGCACACCAGTCGTAAATGCAAAGTGCAAACGACGAGATTCCGTCTCATGTTTTAGAAGAATTCTTCCAAGCTGAAGTGTATTATCCACCGAAATTCATCTTTTTTTGGAAGAAAGATGCAGATTTAGAGTTGAGAACCCGATAAATGATTTCATAAATAGACTAAACTTAGTAATGTTCTTACATTAAGACGAAATCTGAAAACTCCTCATAAACGTAAATTCATGCATATATCGTCAGCCACGAGGGGAAAAGTAGCCTCGGAAATCGACTGTCCTCCAGGTTTTTACATAAGGTAGACAGTTATTTCCAACTGCTTTGTGGTGCAAAAACAGAAAGAAGAAAAGATGCATATTTTTTGTTTTGTTTGCTATTAGAACTGTGATGATGAGAAGTAGAAGAAGGAAAGGAAAAAAGAGAATAAAACAGAAACGTAAAAATATACTCACATTAACACACACGCTCTGGCTGACGATATTCCAACGATCACAAGATCTACTATCACTGATTTACCAGTAAGAAATTCACATTCACAGTGTACAAGTAATGTTAACCAAAAAGGAACCATCTTGCTCCCTCCCTGATTTTAGGTAGAGCGAAGCGGACTATCCAACACGATGAAGAACGCCCTAATTTGTGTTTCTGCTGGCAAAAGCATCCATTTTAGAGATTTTATGCGCGACTAAGTTTCAACACTTAAATATTTCGAAAATCTTGAATTCATTCTCCTCTTTCCACTTGCCTCTTAATAATAAAAAACGATTCTTATGTGAGATCTAATCAAAAACATTCTTACTCTTTTCTGATAAGGTTTAAGGGGAAAAAAGAAAACGCAATAATATTCGTGTCTCTGTGACATTTTTCTCCTCCGTATAATTTCTCTAAAC